AAGTATGTATGTGCATTTGTTTCATGATTTCATTAACGATAGCTGAATGATGGCCATTTTAAGGCCGAAAATGCATCAAAATCACGTATTTTCACAATTCCAGAACCGGATCTCAGTCATGCATGGATGGATTTTGTTCAGATTTAGCACAATGTGTTGTACATATGCAGGTGCATTTCGGTCATGATCTGCTTTGAATGTATATGTCACTCAAATATGAACGGAACGGGGACGTGTCATTGACAATGACTTGTAGTTCTAAATAATGTTCAGCAATTGTGGAAGCAATTCTTTGGTGTTCATCCAAACTTTTGATACATTGATAGAACTACACGAGTTCTCGATGTGAATGGGATTCAAGTTCAATGTGGTGGCCATTTTGTTTTCAGAATATACTGTTCTAGAGCCAAGTCTACAACATGCCAGACCTGATTCCCGTCAAATTTTTAACTATGTGGGAGAGTAGTTTGTGGATATACTACTGCTCACGCTAAAGGCAATTATAAACGACAGAGAGACACATGAGCGTAGTTTACGTTAGCAAAAACACAGTATTGGTTTATTGCAATACGGAGTAAACTGACAGAGTCCTGAGCCAACTGGTAATACATGAAATATAACAGAAATCATGGGTATTTATACCCTCTATGCGAACGTGAAAAGAAACACATTTAGGTGTAAACTACAAGTTTCAAATATAAGCGGCAAAACGAGGCCGAACTGTGATTGGTCAAAGTTAAAAACTTGTGATAGGCTGCTCACTTCACCACCAGAATCCGTAGTTGGATATAACGTGAGGATGAATCGAGATAATTTATCATGGATGACTCCGCTAAAAACTAAATACATCTTGGGACATGTGCATTTTAGTCCATTGGGGTATGGGATTGTCTTCAGTATCAGGTATTTTGTTCTGAATTTTCATAATTCAGGATGTGTCAATATTAATCAGTTTTACACTTGATTGTGAAGAAGATTTAATCATTGAAATGCCAGCACAACAATCTTGTTTCAAACTTAAAAATTATTATTATCTGGGACTTATTTTCCACCGTTTCATGGATTCAGTAAATTCTTTAACAATTTGATGTAGTAATCAAATTCTACTCTGCCCTTGTAATGATGTGTTTATAGTAGATTATCTCAGGAAATTGACAGTGGAACAGTCGATGGTGAGTCAGCAATTTTTGTGTGGTTTGAAATACATTGAGAATTTTCTTTTATGGCTGAATCAAAAAAGGTAGCCATGTCACCAACCTACCTACTTTGTGACACAACCAACACATTGGACTTCATCAGCAAAAAATAGAAAACTACAAATTATTACATTTTTTGAACACGGTCATATTTATAAATGAAAAAATAATGTTTTTCTGATATTAAAAAATTTTGATTTTGCCAACATTTTGCAGATTTTTCTAGAATATCTTCACTTTCTACTAATGAAGACACCTGTCTGCAGAAAGAAACCAACTAAATTTCCAGCTTTTGAACGGGTAAGTGTTGCTAGATTTGGAATGGAACACTTGGTGAGATAAACTAATCTTACAACAGATGATTTTATTGTCCGTTGAACTGAATGTATTAAGGAGTCAATCGAGGGTGAAAATCCTTCATTTGGTTCTAAAATGGGTGTCTTAAACAATTGACAATTTACAGTAAAAAAAAAACAATATTTCTATGTGATAAAAAAAAACACTCAAGGATTTCAATTCAGTTTGCAAGGGTAATTAAAAATGATCGAAAGTATGCTGTTATATGACGTTGATTATAACATGCAAAAAAATCAATTCTTTGGTTTGTTATTGAATGCACATAAAATAACAAACACAAGAAGAAAACCTAATTAATAAGGACATGAAAGATTAATTGTTCAAAAAATGATTTTTAAATTAGAATACTGTGGAATACTTTATTTTCGCTAGAATTAATTTTCGCTGAAAAGGCTTTTTGGGCGTTTTGTATGGAATTTATTTTCACTGATTTTTGATGAGTTTAATGTGAAATATGGGAAAAAAAGTATATTTGCTGGATTTTATTTTCACGGAATCATCCCTTCAGCGGAAAAAGCAAAAATAAATTACAAGCGAAAAATAAAGTATTCTACAGTACTAGTGGTATGCTAAAAAAATTAAAAACTAGTGAAAATTATTATATCTATTATCTATATGTGGTGGGTTATATCAGGTATAATCCAGCTAAATCTGGCTTGATCCAGTAAATGTCGCATACCAGTTCATTTCATGATGGCTTATATCTAGTGTAATCCAGTTAAATCTGCTTTAATGCAGTAACTGTCACATACTAGTATCTTTCTCGATGGGTTATATCAGGTGTGGTCCAGTTAAATCTGGTTTAATCCAGTAACTGTCACATACTATTACATTTCACAATGGGTTGTGTCAGG